CGTCCTCCCACAACCACATCAAAGTTACAACTGAACTACAGAACAGTTATCATTCAAAACCACCTGAAATTGAGTTGAATGGAAGTCCTACAACTACGGAATTAAAGCAGCCACATTGAGACTGGTAGGAGGGGCAGAGGCAGATGGGCTGGTCCCACACCCACGTATGGCGGATATAAATCAGGAGGACACCTCAGCTGGGAAGGTACTCTCTGAGGACTGAGGGGTCCCCGTCCCACACCAGGGGCCCCGCTCAGGGTTCCAGTGCCAGGAAGAGAAGTCCCCATAACCTCTGGCTGGAAAAACCAGCGGGAACTGAGGCTCAGGAAGGCTGAGGCAGCTGGAGCCCCAGGCAGCTCCTCTTAAAGGGCCCGCGCAGGGAATTATTGGACTCACTCCCTCTAAGCTTAGAGAGGAGGCAGCTCGAGGGCGCCAGAGACATACAGGGAAGAACTGAGCTGTTTGGCATTGGAGCGAGGGCTGGAGAGGGGGCTTCTCTGGGACAAACGTGCTGTCAGAGGCCTTTGTTCCTTTGGTGAGCCCTGCCCTGGGGCAGCCGACAGCTGCCATATCTGGGACTCCAGCAACCTGGCTCATACTGGTTGTCCTGCCCCGGTGATTCCCTGAGGCCCCGCCCCACCCAACTTTCAGGCCCACCCAAGCTGTTGCCAGTTGCTTAACCATAGGATTGGCCTGTCTTGGATCCTGCTTCAGGTTTTCCTAAATTCTTTCAAACAAGCAGCATCTGGTCTCAGCTAGACCCATGCCACTCGTTAAATAATACATAGAAACAAACACAGGGAGGCAGCCAAAATAGGAGACAAAGAAACAGGTCCCAAATGAAAGAACCGAAAAAATCTCCAGGAAAAGAACTAAGCGAAATGGAGATAAGCAACCTAACAGATGCTGAGTTCAAATGCTGCTTATAAGGATACTCAATGAACTTAGTGAGAACCTCAGTGAACTTAGTGAGGGACTCAAGAGCATAAAAAAGGACCAGTCAGATATGAAGGACACACAGTCAGAAATGAAGGAGGCACTGACTGAAATAAAGAATAATTTACACAGATTCAAAAGTAGAGTAGGTAAAGCCAAGAAGCAAACCATCGATTTGGAATATAAGGAAGCAAAAAACACCCAATCAGAACAGCAAAAAGCAAAAAGAATCCAAAAAAATGAGGAGAGTGTTAGGAGCCTCTGGGACAATGTCAAGCGTGCCAACATTCGTATCTTGATTGTGGCAGAAGGAGAAGAGAGAGAACAAGAAATAAAAAACCTATTTGAAACAATAATGGCAGAAAACTTCCCTAACTTGGTGAAGGAAGCAGACATACAAGTCCAGGAAGCACAGAGAGTCCCAAACAAGATGAACCCCAAGAGGCCCACACCAAGACACATCATCATCAAAATGCAAAAGGTTCAAGACAAAGAGAGAATCTTAAAAGCAGCAAGAGAAAAGCAGTTAGTTGCCATAAGACTGTCAGCTGATTTCTCAAAAGAAACTTTGCAGGCCGGAAGGGAGTGGCAAGAAATATTCAGAGTGATGAAAAGCAAGAACCTACAACCAAGATTACGCTATCCTGCAAAGCTGTCATTTAGAATCGATGGCCACATAAAGACTTTCCCAGACAAGAAAAAGTTAAAGGAGTTCTTCATCACCACCAAACCATTATTATATGAAATGTTGAAGGGTCTTTTTGAAGAAAAAGTAGATAAACTATATGAACAAACAAAATGGCAATGAATACTATCTGTCGACAATGGAATCTACAAACGAAATGAACGGGCAGAACAGAAACATTCTCATAGATACAGAGAGCATTTTGTTGGTTGCCAGATGGGAGGGGGTTGGGGGAATGGGTGGAAAAGGTGAAGGGATTAAGAAGAACAAATTGGTTGCTAGACTGACAAACCTCAAAGAGAAGGGGGTTCGGGGGTGGGAAGAAATAAACTAAAGAACTTATATGCATAACCAATGGACACAGACAACAGTGTGGGAAAAGGCAGGAGCGGGGCGAGAGTGGGGAGGAGGGGGTCAATGGGGGAAAAATGAGGAACATCTGTAATACATTCAACAATAAAGATTTTAAAAAAGAAGAACAACAGAATATTGTGGGCACTTTTCAGAATGTCTATTTTCCTATCTCTCCAATTTGGAGACAGCAGTTGTCCCTGTGACCTCAATTCTTTGATAGCTCTAAGACAGTGGTTCTCAACCTTCCTAATGCCACAACCCTTTAATATAGTTCCTCATGGTGTGTTGACCCCCAACCATAAAATTATTTTTGTTGCTACTTCATAACTGTAATTTTGCTACTGTTATGTCTTAGGCGGCCCCTGTGTAAGGGTCATTCGACCCCCAAAGGGGTCACGACCCACAGGTTGAGAACCGCTGCTCTAAGAGGAGTTATTGATTTTGTTTGCTTTTTTCTGCTGAAGATGAGAATGTCACTTTAGCCTCTTACAATGCAGATGAGAAACTAGACGTCTCTGACTCCATGTTTTAGTGTGTGACTCCTGGTATGTTAGAACAAACAGTATTCCTCCTGCATAGAGAAAACTCACTTCTTCCCTCTACTTTTACTCAGAACACTTCAGTTCTGACACTTTCTTAATGAAGAATTAATGAGAGGCTAGTTTAATCATGAACAGTTTTAACTATAGGAAAATAAGAAAACAGGCCCAAGGGGGAAATAATACATGATAGCATTGATTCAAAATGTATAATTATTAACTTGGAAAAAAAATCACAAAATTGATCTAAAAATCTACAATTGCAATGGGATGTTTTATTTAATATATCTTGTGAAGAAGTGGAAAAGATAATATTTTTTAGTACACAATCTGTTTGAAACAGTTAAAACATTTCTAAGAACCAGCTATAGAAACATTTGTTTGACCAAAAAATAAACACTGTTTTAAATTATATACTAACATAACCTAAAACGTACTGAGGACTTATGTTGAGCTATGAATAATTGGAAATATCCACAATCTGCCTGATATGAGGAAGGTACCGAGTCTCACATGTCAGAGTAGTCAATGCACACGCAGCAGAGGAACCGACTCCCTCGTAGTTCTTTCTGACAGCACCATTGTAGCTGTTTTGGTGGAATCAGGAACACATAGTCACATAGAATGAGGTGTTTACGATACAAATTAGACCTTATACAAATACAATCTAGAGAAGAGGGGAGTCAGTGTTTCAGAGAACACTCTTAAACATGACAGTCTGAATTTGTTTGGTGGACACATGAGGGCTTGTGGGAAATCTAAATTGACAGACCTTTGCTGTGGATATTGTGGAGGCATCTGCGGAAACCTATAGCTCTGAGAAATTGGAAGTCATGTAGTTGGTGGTGGTATTGAGGATACTCTTGATTGGCAAGACAAAGAATCAGGAAAATGGATTGGAAGCAGGTATATACGAAACATCTATGCATCTGTCTCTCTGTGCTCTGTGGTTAAAAAATTGAGGGCTTCCAAATCTCATGCAAATGAGGTTATTAATGAATTTAACATGAAATCATAAAAAGAACAAAAAATGTTCTAGAAAATGTAGGTTACAATATTACCATGTTGACATAACATATATTTCCGTAGAGCCACCTCCAATTCTACATTTTATTGTCCCATCACAGGTCTCTCTCTCTCTCTCTCTTTTTGGCAAATATAAAAGCTTATTGGTCTACCTAAAATAATGTTATCACAAAAATTGAATCCAAGTGTAAGTGTTAAAAACACATAGGAAAGTAGCTAGAAATGTGATTTTATTTAGTCTCACAGACCTGAAGCACTGTGAGAGCAGTGACCACTTTAGTTAACATTCACTGTTGTATTTCTAGTGTCCAGCTCGGGAACATAGCAGGTGCTCAATATGAATAAAGGGATGGTGACACCACTGGTTGACTTTAGTGATATCATATAATCATTCTAATCATTGTATATGGGTAAAAGATACCCTAAATGGTGACATCAGACTATTGTGGGAGGATTTTAATGGATTGATGGGGCAAAAATGTTGCTTTGGTGCAAAGATATTGTAGCTGTGAATTAAATCTAATATAATTAGCCCTGGCCAGTTTTGCTCAGCGATTAGAGCATTGGCCTGTGGACCAAAGAGTCCCAGGTTTGATTACGGTCAAGGGCATGTACCTCAGGTGCAGTTTGGTCCCAGGCCCCGGTTGGGGTCATGAGGGAGTCAACCAATCGATGTGTCTCTCACATCAATGTTTCTCTCTCTCCCCTTACCACTCTGTCTGTGGATAAATGGAAAAAAAAATATCCTCAAGTGAGGATTAAAAAAAAAAACTAATATAATTATACCTGTAAACATTTTAAGGTTGTTTGTAAGTTTGAGGTTGATGTCGATACAGGTAGCTCTTCTTAATGTGAAGTCTATTTTCCTAATCACAGAGGTAATGACAAAGAGTAAAGGGAAAAGATGTAAATAGTAATTCAAATGAGTTATACACTATGACAAACTTTGCATATTTACAAATTTATGTCAATTATTCATTAGTAAGGAAAATTAGTAAGGCTCTTGTGATAAAGAAAAAGAAAATTTTTCTTTTAAGAAAAGAGGAATAGTTATCACGGGTAAGGAATATCCAATATTTGCCACATGAAGCCAATAGGAAAATACTAACAAAATACCAAATTGTCATTATTTCCCTTAACCTGCAGAATATTTAAAAATTTATATAAAAATCAAGCCTACTAGTATATATTACAATTACATTTCAACTCACCCATGGGTCCAACATACTTCAAAATGGAAAGACAAAAATTTTATAAGTGGTTTAAGAAAAAACACTACCAACTAAAAGCTTATGTACTGTTACTTAAAGAGTACTTACAGAATTGTCTCAACTCATTATTCATTTGCAAAAGTAACAAGAAGAATCCATAGTCCAGAGACTGAGTTTCAGAATAAACTGCTGATAAAGACAGTATATTTTTAGCTTTTAAAACATTTCTTTCATGTCACAAATTTTCTGGACTATTACATGTGAATTAATTTGTATCAGGCCTTCCTATATCACTTACATTTATAGCCATTTCTCTCCAGTAGAGTTTTCAATAACTTTGAGTGTATTTATAAAGAGTGAAAACTTTCCTGTATTTATCAGTTACAATTTATCCAGTGTGCATTCTCATGACATGTTTATGTAAGGATGTGGGCCAATTGAAGGCTTTCCCACAATGCTTACACTGAAGAAGTTTCTCTCCAGTATGAATTCTTTCATGGCTTCTAAATGAACTAGGTCGACTAAAGGCTTTCCCACATTCTTCACATTTATATGGTTTCTCTCCAGTGTGCACTCTCATGTGACCTCGAAAGGTTGTGCGATAAATGAAGGCTTTCCCACATTCCTTACATTCATAGGGTTTCTCTCCAGTGTGAGTTCTCTCATGTACTTGAACATAACTAGAACAACTGAAGGCTTTACCACATATTTTACATTCATAGGGTTTCTCTCCAGTGTGAGTTCTTTCATGTATTCTAAATGAACTGGGACAGTTGAATGCTTTCCCGCATTCCTTACACTTATAAGGTCCATCTCCAGTGTGCGTCATCATGTGTCTTCGAAAGCTTGTGAGAGATACAAATGCTTTCCCACATTCCTCACATTTATAGGGTTTCTCTCCAGTGTGAGTTCTTTCATGTATTTGCAAACCTAGAGCAGAACTGAAGGTTTTCCTACACTGTTTACATTCATAGGGTTTCTCTGCACTGTGAGTCCTTTCATGTCTTCTAAAGGAAGTAGGACAACTGAGGGCTTTACCACATAGCTTACAGATATAGGGCTTTTCTCCAGTGTGAGTTCTCACATGAACTTGAAAAGTTGTGAGCCAATGGAAAGCTTTTCCACACTCTTTACATTGGTAGGGTTTCTCTCCAGTGTGTGTTCTTTCATGTGTTCGAAAGGAACTGGAACAACTGAAGGCTCTACCACATTGTTTACATTCATAGGGTTTTTCTCCAGTGTGAGATCTTTCATGTATTCTATATGAACTGGGACAATTGAATGCTTTCCCACATTCCTTACATTTATAAGGTCCATCTCCAGTATGTGTTATCATGTGTCTTTGAAAGCTTCCGAGAGAAATAAAGGCTTTCCCACATTCCTTACAGTCATAGGGTTTCTCTCCAGTGTGAGTTCTTTCATGTTTTCGAAGAGAACTTGGACAACTGAAAGCTTTACTACACTTTTTACACTCATAGGGTTTTTCTCCAGTATGAGTTCTTTCATGACTTCGATAGGAACTGGGACAACTGAGGGCTTTACCACACTGCTTACATTCATAGGGTTTCTCTCCTGTGTGAGTTCTTTCATGTGTTTGGAAAGTTTGATGATATCTAAAGGCTTTCCCACATTGTTTACATTGATAGGGTTTCTCTCCAGTGTGAGTCCGTTCATGTTTGCGAACAGATTGGCGATATCTAAAGGATTTTCCACATTCCTTACATTTATAGGATTTCTGTACACTGTGATTTCTTTCATGTTTTTGAAAAGGTTGGAGATAACTGAAGGCTTTCCCACATATCTTACATTTATAAGGTTTCTTTCCATACTCCTGATACTTGTATGGTTTGGGTGCAGTGTGAGATCTCATGTGCCTATTAAGGGATGAACGACTCATGAAGACTTTTCCACACACACTGCACTCCCATGGTTTTACTTTAGTAGAAGTTTTCTTGTTCAGATTAAGATTTGAAATATGGCTGAAGTTTTCTCCACATTGACTACTTTCTTTACGTCCACAGAGTCTCTCTACCATAGGATGTCTATAGAAGAATTAGGAGTATATGATTAGTGATTTTTTTTTCTTTTTATTAATTTATTTTTGTTACAGATGTTTCTCCTTTTTTTCCCCATTGCCACCCTCCTCCTTATCCCTCCCCATCCCGTCCCCAGCTTTGTTGTCCGTGTCCATCGGTTATGTGTACATGCATGTAAGTTCTGTGGTTTATCTCTTCCCTCCCCGCCCCCCTCTTCTGAGGGTTGTCAGTCTGTACCCTGCCTCCATGATTTCTTTATTAATTATTTATACTTATTCATAAACATTAGAATTATGCATTTATAATTAATAGGGAAAGTATAGGTTTTCTGCTCTGAATTGTCTGAAACTGAATATAATGAATGCTCTGAAAGGTTTGACTGAAGCTATTATCAAAGTAGTGTTACTCATATATGGAGTTTCTGAATACTGTTTCCAAGTAAACTATTTTGGAAACACTGAATATGTCACAATTTAGAAAACATTTTTGCTAAAAATTTTCCAAAATTAAATAAACTTGAAGCTGAGCTGTTTTGGGTCTGCTTATTTTTATTTTTCAATTACAGTTTATATACAATGTTATTTTGTATGTGTTTCATGTGTACAGCATAGTGTTTAATCATATACTTTACAAAGTGGTCCTCCTGATATTTCAAGTACCCACCTGGCACCATACATAGTTATTACAATATTATTGACCACATTCCCTATGTTGTACCTTACGTCCTCATGACTATTTGGTAACTACCAATCTTTATTTCTTAATCCCTTCACCTTTTTCACCCAGTTCCCAAACCCCATTCTATCTGACAACCATCAGTCTGTTCTCTGTATCTATGAGTCTGTTTCTATTTTGATTATTTTGTTCTTTAGATTCCACATATAAGTGAAGTCATATGGTATTTGTCTTTCTCTGTCTGACTTATTTCACTTAGCATAATATCCTCTAGGTCCATCCATGTTGTTGCAAATGATAAGATTTCATTTATTTTTATGGCCAAGTATTATTCACTGTGTGTGTACTTTTTATCCATTTGTCTATTGATGGACACTTGGGTTGCTTCCATATCTTAGCTATTGTAAATAGTGCTGCAATGAACATGGGAGTGCATATAGTCTTTTGAATCAGTGTTTTAGGTTTCTTAAAATATATACCCAGAAGTGGAATCACTGGGTCATAAGGCAATTCCATATTTAATTTTTTGAGGTCTGCCTGCTTGTTTTTAGATTTTCATGACATACAAAGATCCCCTCATGGGACACTGATTTTTGTTGTGAATATAACTTACCTTAGATTTCTTCCCTGGTTTTTGTACTGATCTTCAATGTTTTGGTCTTCACATTTTCTTCCTAAAATGCAGACCCAGAAAAATAAAAAGTTACAGAAGAATTATCACATTGCTGGTCTATGATGAGTTCTGACTACGCCTGGTTTATTTACCAACGTGTTCTCTTTCCCCATTCCAAATCAGACAACAATGTAGATAGACAAGAAACACTTGTTCTCTAAGTAGCTAAATGAAGGAATGTTGTCACCCTTACCTATGGAGGCCAGGTTCCTGAAGGTTTCCCTCATCACATCTCTGTAGAGTTTCTTCTGCGAAGGATCCAGCAGAGCCCACTCTTCCAGGGTGAAGTTTACAGCCACATCCTCAAAGGCCACTGAGTCCTAAAACATCCCACATATGTATATAGGAAGACAAGTAAGATAGACAGTACTGGGGGGTGGGGTCTGTAGTCAATTCATAAGAAGCTCACATGGTCTGTGATTTCAAAATATTTATTCTATGACTTGGTCATCAGAATTCTTATTCACTACACATAACCACTTCCTCACAGAATTAATAGCATCTTGAATCTTTCAGGCACATAATTTTCCTAAACACTGGTCTTTGAAAAAGATCATTAACCCACTGACATCTACATGCCATCTGATGGTAGAATTTGCCCATTTGGTTAAGGAATGAATAGGAAATCCCCATTTCTTGGTGAGTTCAGTGTTTAGGGTCAGCTCTAATTACAGTGGAATACACAGAAAGAACCGCACATTTCAGACCTTTTTTGAGAAGCCTCTAGAGAACCTCAAAGATGACAGGAGAGAGAAAAAGAAAGACACTGGATGTAGCTTCTGATACTTAAAGGTATAAAAACAGTAAACATAGGTTAAGCCCTAGCCAGATAAACTTAAAACCTCACATTAAATGCCTATTTACTGCCCCGGCTGATTTGGCTCAGTTGTAGAGTGTTGGCCTGTGGACCAGTGAGTCACAGGTTCGATTCTAACCAAGGGCACGTAGCTCGGTTTCGGTTCATCCCTGGCCCTGGCTGGGGTTGTGTGGGAAGCAACTAACTGATGTGTCTCTTTCACATCATGTTTCTCTCTCTCTCCCTCCCACTCTATCTGAAGATAAATGGAAAAATATCCTCAGGTGAGGATTAAAAAAAAAGGCCTATTTATCTAGGTTTATCAGTATATCATGTCTGGATTCCAACAACAACAAAATCACACAGCTTCCTAAAAGACTTAACCTTGGACTAACATCGAGATTTCCTGTCAAGATGGCGGTGGAGGTAAACGCAGCGGTATCGCGACCTTCCACAACCACATCAAAGTTACCACTAAACTACAGAACAACCATACAGAAAACTGCCTGAAATCAAGCTGAATGGAAGTCCTACAACTATGGAATTAAAGAAGCAGCCACAAGGAGACTGGTAGGAGGGGCAGAAGTGCGGACGGGCTGGTCCCACACCCACGTGTAGCAGATCAAAGTTAGGAGGACACCTTGGCTGGGAAGGTCCTCCCTGAGGACTGAGGGGTCCCCGTCCCATACTAGGCGCCCAGCTCAGGGTTCCAGTGCTAGGAAGAGAAGTCCCCATAACTTCTGGCTGTAAAACCAGCTGTAACTGAGGCTGAGGTGACTGGAACCCCAGGCAGTTCCTCTTAAAGGGCCCGCGTACAGACTTACTCAGACTTGCACCCTCCAGGCTCCAGCGTGAGAGAGGCAGCTTGAAAGGCACCAGAGACATACAGGGAAGAACTGAGCTGTTTGGCATTGGAGCGAGGGCTGGAGAGGGGGGCTTTCTCCTGGACAGATGTGCTGTCAGAGGCCTTTGTTCCTTTGGTGAGCCCTTCCCTGGGGCGGCAGACAGCCGCCATATCTGGGACTCCAGCAACTTGGCTCATACTGTTTGCCTGCCCTGGTGATTCCCTGAGGCCCTGCCCCACCCAACTTTCAGGCCCACCCAAGCTGTTGCCAGTTGCTTTACTATAGGATTGGCCTGTCTTGGATCCTGCTTCAGGTTTTCCGAAATTCTTTCAAACAAGCAGCATCTGGTCTCAGCTAGCCCCATACCTCTCATTAAGTAATACATAGAAACAAAACAGGGAGGCAGCCAAAATGAGGAGACAAAGAAACAGGTCCCAGGTGAAAGAACAAAACAAAACTCCAGGAAAAGAATTAAGCAAAATGGAAATAAGAACCTAACATGCTGAGTTAAAAGCACTGCTTATAAGGATGTTCAATGAACTTAGTGAGAACCTCAGTGAACTTAGTGAGGGCCTCAAGAGCATAAAAAAGGATCAGTCAGAAATGAAGAACGCACAGTCTGAAATGAAGGAGGCACTAACTGAAATAAAGAATAATTTACACAGATTCAGTGGTAGAGTAGGTAAAGCCAAGAAGCAAACCATCAATTTGGAATATAAGGAAGCAAAAAACACCCAATCAGAACAGCAAAAAGAAAAAAGAATCCAAAAAAATGAGGATAGTGGAAGGAGCCTCTGGGACAACTTCAAGCATGCCAACATTTGCATCTTGGTTGTGCCAGAAGGAGAAGAGAGAGAACAAGAAATCAAAAACCTATTTGAAACAATAATGGCAGAAAACTTCCCTAACTTGGTGAAGGAAACAGACATACAAGTCCAGGAAGCACGGAGAGTTCCAAACAAGATGAACCCCAAGAGGCCCACACCAAGACACATCATCATCAAAATGCAAAAGGTTCAAGACAGAGAGAATCTTAAAAGCAGCAAGATAAAAGCAGTTAGTTACCTACAAGGGAGTTGCCATAAGACTGTCAGCTGATTTCTCAAAAGAAACTTTGCAGGCCAGAAGGGAGTGGCAAGAAATATTCAGAGTGATGAAAAGCAAGAACCTACAACCAAGATTACGCTATCCTGCAAAGCTGTCATTTAGAATCGATGGCCACATAAAGACTTTCCCAGACAAGAAAAAACTAAAGGAGTTCATCACCACCAAACCGTTATTATATGAAATGTTGAAGGGTCTTTTTGAAGAAAAAGATAAAAAAATATGAACAAATAAAATGGCAATGAATACATATCTATCGACAATTGAATCTACAAACAAAATGAACGGGCAGAGCAGAAACATTCTCATAGATACAGAGAACATTTTGTTGGTTGCCAGATGGGAGGGGGGTTGGGGGAATGGGTGAAAAAGGTGAAGGGATTAAGAAGTACAAATAGGTTGCTAGATTGATAAACCACAAAGGGAAGGGGGTTTGGGGTGGGAAGAAATAAACCAAAGAACCTATATGTATATATACATAACCAATGGACACAGACGACAGTGTGGGGAAAGGCAGGAGGGGGTGGTAGGGGGGAGGAGGGGGTCAATGGGGGAAAAATGAGGAACATCTGTAATATATTCAACAATAAAGATAAGTTAAAAAAGAAGACTTAATCCTGAAAGAAGCCAAGGGGAAAAACACACCTTAGCTATAGATAAACAAGGACAATAATTAAATCAGACGTGTTTAAAAAAAATTTTTTTTTTTGTCTCAATGCAAGCAAGGAGAGAGTGGAATTAAATATTTAAAGTGTTGATAGAGGACTTCTGGTCAAGTTGGCAGCATCGGTAAACGTGGTATCATGTCCTCCTACAACCACATCAAAATTACAAGTAAACCACACAACAAACATCATTCAAAACCACCTGAAATCAAGCTGAATGGAAATCCTACAACAAAATTAAATAAGAAGCCACATCAAGACTGGTAAGAGGGGTGGAGACATGGATAGGCTGGTCCCACACCCACGTGTGGTGGATAAAAATCAGGAGGGATACCCTGGCTGTGAAGGTCCTCCCTGGGGAGCAAGGGGTCCCCGTCCCAAACCAGGCTGCCAGCTCGGGGTTCCAGTGCCAGGAAGAGAAGTCCCCATAACTTCTGGCTGTAAAAACCAGCAGGAACTGAGGCTGAGGCTGAGGCTGCTGGAGCCACAGGCAACTCCTTTAAAGGACCTGCACACAGACTTCCTCGAACTCCCTCCCTCCAGGCTCCAGCGTGGGGGAGGCAGCCCGAAAGGCACCAGAGACATATGGGGAAGAACTGAGTTGTTTGGAGTCAGGGTGAGGGCTGGAGAGGCAGCTTTCTCCTGGACAGATGTGCTGGTGGAGGCCTTTGTTCCTTTGGTGAGCCCTTCCCCAATGAGGCCAGCAAATGGGTGCCATATCTGGGACTCCAACAATGTAGCCCACAGTTTGCCCCTCCCTGGTGATTCTCTGAGGCCCTGCCCCACCTGACTTTTGAGCCCACCCAAGCTGTTCCCAATGGCTTTACCATAGGATTGGCTTGTCTTGCCTCCTGTTTCAGATTCTCCTAAATGCTCTCACAAAAGCAGCATCTGGTCTCAGCGAACCCCATACCTCTCATTAAATGGCCTCAGGCCTGGCACTAGGACAGCCAGCCTTGGTTCACAACTTGGCCTTGCCTGGTGACCTCCAAGCCCAGCACAAGAAGTAGCCATCTTCAGACCGCTTTGTAGCTTATGCCTGGTGGCCCCGGGTAGAACACAGGCAGTGGCTGTCTTTGCCCTAGAGCCAGGAAACCCAGTGGACAGTGTCAGACCATGGTGAAGCACCACTACCCAACCACCTCCACAAGTGACACACTCAAGGAGTAGACTCAGTGGGTACCAGAACCTTGCTGAAGTAAGTCTTGCTCTGTATGGTGGGGCTCCACACAGCTGATCACCCAAGGTAGTCAGAGGTTAGTAGACAGTGGGTACAGCCAGTGCTTGCAGCTGATTAGCCTGAGTAAAACCCTCCTAATGATGTAATTTAATCTTGATTGCTGTTGGTACAATAGAAGGGTGTCAAGTCCACAGGAGGGGTGCACCTTGAGGGCCCAGCTGGGTGACCAGGGAGGCTGTGCCATTGGACCCTACAGGACACCTACTACAATAGGCCACCCTAGGAAGCCCAGAAGACATAGCAACTCTACCTAATACATAGAAACAAACACACGAGGGCAGCCAAAATGAGACAAAGAAACATGTCCCAAATGAAAGAACAGAACAAAACTCCAGGAAAAGAACTAAATGAAGTGGAGATAATCAATCAGATGCAGAGTTCAAAACACTGCTTATAAGGATGCTCAATGAACTTAGGGAGGGCCTGAAGAGCATCAAAAAGGACCAGTCAGAAATGAAGGATGCACAGTCAGAAATGAAGAAGGCACTAACTGAAATAGAGACTAATTTACAGAGATTCAGTAGCAGAAAGCCAAAAAACAAACCATTGACTTGGAATATAAGGAAGCAAAAAACACCCAATCAGAACAGCAAAAAGAAAAAAAGAATCCAAAAAAATGAGGATAGTGTAAGGAGCCTCTGGGACAACTTCATGCATGCCAATATTAGCA